CTTCAGTGAAAGATGAACCCCCACTTGGGTTATTGAGTACTTTTTGCTGTGTTTTGTACATTTTTGATTCACTGACTTTTATTGTTCAAACTAAAGAAATGAAACACTTAGCCGGAAGAAAGTCCCAACATGCCTGGTAATTAATCTTAATGTGTGAAGGACTACTCATGTCTAACAGTTGAGAGCGTAATCATTTACTTGCTGACCCCAATGAGACTCCACGAGAGATTTCCCCATCAGCCAGCATGGAATAAACAATTACCAGGCAAATCTTCTGAAAGTACTGGGGATTAAAAGCAAGCATGAAACCAAAGAAAGTGAAAACCAAATGATCCTCTGTGGGCTGGGTTGGGGGGTGGGCCTCAAAGCCCGTGCTGAAATTTGGCTCCATTTCCCAAATAAAGGCTGAAGGCTTCATAATTGCCAGCCTCTTTGAGATCGTAGGTGCCGGGTGGCAACTGTCATGGCGAGGGCTAATGATGACAAATGGCTCTATGCATATTGCAGAGCAGGTCGACGGTGGGGTGTGGAGAGAGACAAACAAGAGAGATAGGTTACACTCTGCTGCACTTAACTAGCGTAATGCAGACACATGGAGAAGGGTACTCAGAGTGTTTTTAGATGTTTCTTGTGTGAGAAGCCCCAGCTGAGCATGTGGCTTTGGGAGTGGAGTTAAGATATCAGTCCCCTCGTCACCTCCAGCTATGGTATTTGCTTAAGCTGATAGTGACTCGTTTCATTTAACGTTCTATGTCAGTAATATTTATTACAGTAAAATCACTGTGGTGTTCTGCCATTTGTCTTTCATATGACATTTTCAGCCACAACCAGACTCTTAAAACTGTTAAAAAGTCATGTACAATTTTTTAATGAAATATTCATTTGAAAATAGCAACACAAGTCCTTTAGCAAGAGGATGTAAAAGATTTAAAAGTTGTTCACTGCAGAAAAAAAACAAAAACAAACTCAAAAAATACTCTTAACTGATACTTTTCTGATATACTTAACTTCCTCTTAATTTACTTAATACTTTACTTAACTGACACCTATTTGCATATAGATGTTTTAATATATGTAAAAAATTTCAAGACGCTGATTATGATTTGGTTCATTGTCTTGTTAGAAATTAGAAGATTTGAGAAACAATTGAAAAGATTTCCGTGAAACAAGACTTAGCCTTGTTTTAATGTTTGAATCTGTAAAAGTAGTTGCCTTTATTATACTTTCCAGAGAGTGAAATTGTTATAGAAAGCCGTAAATCTTATTTCACTCACTGTGAAGTGGGCCGCAGTCACCGGTAAAAGAACACGCAGCCCTGTATGTCCCGTGCCCAGATTCCCCCAATTTGTTGCATGAACGCCTTTTGAAAGGGGTCCTGCTTTGCACAAAGACGGCAGCCTTTTTTGTTTGTTTCTGCCCCATCTGTGTCATCTGGTGGACTGTGTGGGAGAGGGCGGCAACAGTGTCAGTGGTTTTATGGACTCGCCAGTTTGTGGTGGGAGTCCATCAGCGGGATGTCCCATTGTGGACCTCACACAGCTGACATGCGTGAATCGACTCCAGGACGTCGAGGTGATGTCCATTAATGAAACCAAGGAACCGGCTTTGTTCAACCACCGATTTCTTCTGTTTAGAGGGGATAATCGATAATGTGTGTGTATGTGTGTGTATGGGTGTGTGTGGGTGTGTGGGTATATGTGTGTCCTCAGTTTGACACGCAGAGTCTCAAATTCTGTCATAAACATCAGTTACACGTGCTTTCAGTAAATGATATACCCTTGGTTAGATAACTTGGTTAGTCCTGAATTTACATCGAATGCAAGATTCTGTGTGAATAACTCTGTTTTATTTTCAGTTGAAGTTGTACAAATTGTGAGTATAGTGTTGTATGTGACATTAGAAGCCCCCCACCCTTTCCTATTTTTGTGAACTATTCTTACACTGTCAGTTGCTGGCACTGTCTTTCTTGTCAGACAGGGCTGCTGTATAGCTTGTTCAAAGTGACAGCAGCCCACACGGCAGCTACAGCTATGGTCACCCGCCCCTGCTGGCACTGCACATTTGTGCGCGCGTATGTGTGTGTCTGTATGTGTGTGCATATTGGTGTATGCAAAACAAAAGAAGCATGCAAATCACACACAAAGACGTGTTTCTGTTGATTAGTCACGGGTCCCCATCAATAATGGCGGAATGGTTCCTGTTGCAGGCAGTGAGGAGAGCAGAGGGGGAGTGACCGCATCTGCCCCCTGCTCCACTCACAGTCCCCTGAAAACCAGAGGGACCTATCAGTTCTCCAAACTGTCAGAGGGAGAGAGAGGAAGAGCAAGGGACAGAGACAGAAGACATAGACAAAGACAGAGTTGAGGGGTTGAGGGGTCAGGGTGGAGAGAGGAGGATCCTCAGTCACTCGTGCAGAAAGATGGAGTGTCTCTCTGGAACTGTCTTGTTCACACCATCTATATAAGCAGAGGCTCTGGAAATGTACTGTGGCTTCTGATGAGGTCTTGTGGGGCTTTGTTATTCTCTGTCTCTCATTATGAAGATGTACTGCAGGACAACAGAAAATCTGTTTTTCTACAGTATCCTATGCCAGATTGACCCTATGCCATGGGAGATTAGCCCCTTCTATGGGGCGTTTTAGACAGCAGAGTAAGAGAAACACAGAGAAGGTGAAGCTGCCTCTCGTGGGTTGTGTGTTGGCAGTAGAAGAGAGGGGGGAGACCAAATAAAAAGAAACACAAAGGAGAAAATGAGTGGATGTTTGTCTCCTGACAGGCAGGAAATCAAACAGATTTACTGTGGTGGTGGTGCCTGTGATGTCCCTGTCGCCCAGTTAGTAAATAAAGGATGATAAGCAGTTAAGGTTGGCTTGCCATCGCCAGAGCAGGAATCTGGACACAGCGATGGTAATGTGATGGGTTAAGCAGACAAGGTGCTCAACAGCGGTGATGTAATGGTGACCGAATGGGAGAGGGGAAGTTACTGACAAAATCTCCCTGCCAGCGACTGTTGCTCAGCTCCTTCTCCCTGCCATATCCGGTTTGGCCGTACCCCTCTCATCTCCTCTCTTTTTTCCCTCCTAATTTACACATTTAAGGCTTTTCTGATTCTCTGTTTCCTCTTCTCTTTTGACAGATGAGCCCACACTCCTTTCCTCCCTTTCTCCTTTTCTCTCCTTTTGCCTTTGGGCGATGAACTCATTTCAGGTTGCATAATTATTCTCGGTTGTACACCTTCCTGCTATTAATTCCCTGCCCCCCTCTGTCTCCCCCATCTTGATTATGCATTATCATAATTGTTGTTTTGAAATTCTTTGTTGTGATGAACATGATTGATTTTTTCTATTTTGTTATTTTTTATTTTGTTATAGCTATATATATTATTCTCACTGGCCTAGGGCTGATCAGCTGATCTGCTTTTAGCTCCCCCACATATCCTCCAATGACCTGAGTCCAGCTTCTTCAGAAAGTCTTCCAGAGAAAGAATTTAGAGCTGAGTGTTCTCTGCTGTGATTTTATCTCACATAATTTCAATACTAATCTCAAGTATTACTGAGTTTTTTTTCTTCCACAGTAGCCTCCGGGGTAAATTTAGGTTGAAAACAGAATGAGGGTATATTGAGAAGAATGAGTGAGGACAGAACAGTCAGAGAGATCTCATTGAACAATAAAGGAAGTAAGTGATAACTGAGAAAAGATTGATCTGATTTCAGCAGTCCTTTCACAGATACAAGGCATCAAACTTCCATAAATATTTGTGATTAAATTGCTATCTTTCAAGTACCATCAGTTCCCACATTCAGAGAGCCATCAGTTCACACGTTGTCAGTCTTGTGTGTGGAACAAAGTAGTAATGCTGGAAAACATTTTCTTGATCCCTTTGGAACTCCAAAATATTGGAAATATTTGGAAACTTTGAACACTCTGCAAACAATTCTTTAGCAGTTGTACTCCCTGTCATATGATAATATCCTTGCTGAAGAAAATGGGGAATATTCATACCTCTCCAATTAAAACAGTTATTGTGTGTAAAATACATTAATTAATTAATTAATTCACTATGTTTATGTATACACACACACACACACACTCTAAATATTTCAAAAAGGATAGTGTGGGCCTAGCAGGAGTGGTTATTGGTTATGACGCTTCATAGGTAGATTTTCCAAGGTTTCCTTGTTAAATCTATAATGAAAAGCTCCAGCGAAGAAAAGCCTGAATTGTCCATCACTGTTAATTGGATGTGACTTTGGTACAATAATGGCTCGCCTTTTTCTCTTGTCCTCTAAAATTTCTGCCTGAATGTTTGGTGAAACAGGGCCATAAGCGTGCTCTTGTTACAGTGTATCTAGAACTCAATGGTTTACAACGCCAGAGGTGCAGAAAGAGTAGCTGCTCTTTTTATGATGTATTTTGATGCAGTACAAAGAGATTAGCATTATTTAAGCAGGCGTGCAGTCTCTTTCACACTCACACAAGCACACGTGCACACACACACACACACACACAAATCCTTCAGTCTCCCCCCTCATCATTTGTGTTTTTAGCTGAGGTATTATTTATTAAGTATTAAATATGAATGTTTAACAAACCAGTATTTTTACATCATTAGTTCCTGAGAAACCCATTAAGCATTAAATGGCTGATAGAAGTAGTAGGGTCAGGTGACAGGTACACCATACATTCATGATGTGGTGATACATCTATTATCTTAACAAATTCACTTGCAAAAATGTGAAGTAGATTTTTTTTCTGAGTAAACATCTTGTGGGTACAGTTTTTTCCCTTACCGACCATTTATGAATTCCAGCTAGTTTGAAATTACTTTGAATGCATTTTACATTTTACCTCTGTTATGAATTTTACATTACATTATTGGCATTTAGCAGATGCTCTTACCCAGAGCGACTTACATCAGTTACAATGTTATCCATTTATACAGCTAGATATTTACTGAGGCAATTTGGGGTAAGTACCTTTGCTAAGGGTACAACAGCAGTGCACCAGCGGGGAATCGAACCGGCAACTTTTTGGTCACGAGTCCTACTCCATAACCACTATGCTACACTGCCACCCCTGCAGTGTAGACTGAATCCCACAAAACACCTTTACAGTATATTGGTAGATCTCAAGTAGTTTATGTTCTCAAGTAATTATAGATGTGTGTGTGTGTGTGTGTGTGTGTGTTATGGGATTTTCAAAGGGAATGGAATAATGGATGGAATTATTCTTGAAGTTTTTTCCATTGAGAAGTGAATATGAGAAATCAGTCCTCCTGTGGGCTTTCTGCATTCACGTTTTGGTTGAGGTTTTGGACCATGGCTGCATTGTTTCCTGAGACCAAGGAAGGCAAGGAGCCACATTTGTCATCAGAGACTCCCCCTGATCTCAGGTCTTTAGTCTTGGGTCTTGGGTTGGTCCAAGGCAGCCTGGAGGAGATGATGTGTCGCAGGCCCGTTGCTTCAACTGAGCATGATACACTTATTTCCTGATGAGTTGGGACAAGCGGGAAGCAGAGAGAGCGAGTTGCAGAGGTATGCGCTCCGAGCACTGGAAGGGGCTAGGGATTTTGGCAGCACCAATGCGTAGGAAAGTGAGAACTCTATCCTGCAACTCTCTCCCAGATCTTTATCCCAGAACTCTTCCCCCATCCTCTTTCGGGATGGGGGGGGGGTTGCTATCAGGAGCTGCTCAGCGGGTCACTGGCTCTGGGGAGAACAGCCTGCATCAGTGCGCTCTGGTCCGGCGCAATTAGTCAAATTACAGCCCTCTTAGCGGCTTGTCAAGGGCTGTCAAGGTTTGGCAGCACGAAGGCCCCAAGTCCCTCTGAGAGAACCCCCAAGGCCTACTCGCTCACTGCATCTCTCTCCTCCTCACCTCCTCACAAAGGAAAGGGGAATAATGAATGATGCCTCCCTCTTTCACAATCCAGTTTTCCTCTTGTTCTTTTCCAGCCTCAAGCTGGAGGACTGGAGTTGTGGTGTGTTCTGTTTACAAGGGGTCTGGCTGATGCTGAAAACCAGTGAGCCTCCCACAACTGTCATGTCAGTTATAACATCTTTCTCCAGCTAGCACCACTGAACAGTGTAAATATAAAAGGAGTATAGGCATTCATTACATGACACTGTCATTTAGCAGATCGTCTTATCTGGAGTGACTTAGACAGGTTACAATTTTTACACGTTGTCCATTGATACAGCTGGATGTTTAATAAGGCACTTCTGGGTTAAGTTCCTTGCCCAAGGGTGCAACACCAGTGCTTCAGTGGGGAATTCAACCAGCAACGTTTTGATTGTGAGCCCTGCTCCTTACCACTTATGCTACACTGCCACCTATTCTTATATGACATGACATAAATGGCAGTTAAAAGATCAAAATTGTACAAGTACAAGAGAAGAAATGATCCACCTGAACTCAATAACTAGAAGATGATTTTTCGATACTGACCTTTGGTTGGATTGTTTAGCCAATCACAGAACAGCGTTATTAGTGTTATTATATTTGCACAAGCACTCCCATTCTGACTGGCCTTTGACAAGTATGTCAGGTTGATTACAGTGTTCTTTACCAGTGTGGCTGTGTCACCTGTGATAATCCTCAAAGAACGTTCAGGGAAAGGGGGGCGGGGGTGGAGTTTTCTGGATGATATACTTTCAGTGACGGGAAAAATTATGCAGAGGGAGGGGAGATGAATCTATAGCATATTATTAAGCAATTTAATGTGAGCGAAAGGGATATAGGCGTAATGGATGAGGGTGTCATTATTACCCTCATGTAGAGGGGAGAACCAAAACAAAGCTGCAGAGACTAGATTAATGAAGGACGAGTGAAGCCCTTGTTGCTCATCTGGGCCAGTTTCTCAGTCTCTCCCCTTCTGTCCTTGTGTGCTTTCCCTCATTCCACTTCTTCCTGCTCATCCTCTGACCAAAGAGACAAAATGTAGAAGTTAGGCGGCCAGTTAGAGGCTCCCCTTTGTGGGAGTCAGAGAAAGGCAATAGCAATGGGAATCATGTTGGTAGTCACATTGATCCTGAGAAGTGCATGAAGATGGACCTTTTGTGACACCATGTTAACAGGACGCTCAAGAAAATTACCACTGATGTCAGCCCTCAACCTGCGTGGACCAGGTGTGTGTGTGTGTGTGTGTGTGTGTGTGTGTGGGTGTGTGTGTGTGTGTGGCAAGTTATTAGGGCAAGTCATATATTTGGCCACAAGTTCACCAATGCTTTAAAACTACTGTTATTTCATATAAATACTCAACCTGTGCTGTCCATGTTTATTGCTGTGGATTTTTGTGGTGTTTTGAGGCACAATTGGTTTGATTTTCTATCGTGAATTGTTTTAGTTTTTTAAGCAGCAACGTATACAGATTTTAAATTTAAAAAATAAGTAAAATATGTTATACAGTGTAATAGGCCTGCAACCAGGTTTGAGTATTCGCCTGTACCCAAATAAGTCTGTGTGTGTATGGTCCTCAGATTTGGGTTAGGAGTAGGATTGTTTACCTCAGGTCTTGTTTACCTCAGATCTTGTGCCTTTTCTCAGCTCTCTTAACTCAGCATTTATCTTAGTACTCCTCATGTAAGATTGATTGTTAAAGTGATTTGTAATCCACCATGAGGTCTTTTGATAGCATTCTCATCTGGTTCATGATGTAGCAATTAGAACATGAACGTTCTGCAGGAGCAAGTTTGGTTGCAGAGCTATCAGTGTTGTTTTTCTTCACCCCATTTCTGTAGTGTAAGAGTCTAAAACCCAAACCTACACACAGGTTTCACCTCCGACCACTCCTCCCCCTCATGTTTGTCACCCAGTCTGTGGGATGGAAAGAGGGGGCACAAAAGTACAGAAAATGAAACTGACATTTGTGTGGGTCGATGTTCCCAAATGTCATGAGCAGGTGAGCGTGTGTCACTGGCCTTCTTAATGACAACAACTCCAACTCACCTAAAAAGTGAAAGTCTGGACTGGGGCTGGGTGGCCACCTCTCCCCCCTCCCCCAAATGCCAGCTCCAGCGTCAACGGTACGGGGGCAGAGTGCGCGCCTGTCCCCTCCTGGCGGAGTGATTAGTCAGGGGCTGAAGTCTGCAGCTGCCAGGTCTGCCTGTGACGAGGGGCGGACATCGGCACAGCGCCTGTCACACCCCTGACACCTCTGACAGGTCGTGGACAGGCTCGGCTGACAGGCTCATTAAATGACATGTCTTACAGCTGGGCCTGAAAAAATTGAGGGCTGCGCTTTGTCAAAGGACCAGCTCTTGGGGTGTGTATGTGGGGGGGGGGGGTTTGTTGGAAGCTTGTTGGTTTAAATCAGCGCTTTGTTGTTTTGACAAATTTGTTATCTGTGCTGTTTGAAAAAAGATCTCTTTTGAGCTCTCTGTCATCTGGCCTTGACCGTAGTCACTTTAGAATGCAGGCGCAAGCCGTGCTGAGAAGGGAGATGATAGAAAGGAATACTTTTCTATGGGTAAAGTACAATATTTGATATATCAGCATAAAACTGTGCTGAATTCCTTTCTTAACCAAACTCTCTTTATTAGTCTTTATTGCATCAAGGCACTCTCACATTGTACATCATGGGAGCCTGATGTCTTGCTTCAGTTTGATTATTTTTATTTTCTGTGTTTAAATATGCATCATTCCAAAACATTTTATTTAGTATTCTGTGTGATAAAAATGCATCAAATAAAATAAACAGAATGAGTTAAAATCTTGGTCCATTATTTTTTCTGTGTTATTCATATTCTGTTGTTTTTTAGCCATTTATTTCTGTATTTTTGGTATTCTGACTGGTAATATGATACATTTTGGAGGAAAAAAACAGCACCAGGGATTTTAATGTGATCATCAGAAATGCATCCCGGTTCTGTTTGGGGATCCAAATGCGTCAGTGGTGTTGAAAACAGCCTGCGCAGTGGACAGCTGCTGAAAGAGTCGCTCCCAGTTTCTCAGCACTCAGGGCCAGATCAAGCTGAAAGGTCATCCCATACTAACATTGCAGAGCTCAGACAGAAATGGATTTCCGGTACATATTTACAGCATGACTTACTGCGTAAGTTCAAGTCTGTCCCCTTTGTGTTGCTGTTTTATTTCATTATAATCCTCCCATTTGTTAAAATGAACGTGCAGCAAAAAGTACGTTAGCCAGAGCGGTGGCCGTAGCAGTCGTGGCATCATTTTGTGATGGCACCTTTGAATAGCCTGTATTTTCCTGCTCTGCTGTCTTGGTAGCGATTAGAAGTGCATTTATTTTCTTGATTGCCAGTTCTTCCCATGAGGCCCTGTCTGTTGTGTTGTCGTGTTTATGCCCGTAATGCCTGTAGCTGCCTGTCTCTCTCCCAGTCACTGAGCTGTCCTTACTGAGCAGCGTGGCAGGGGCGAGTAAATGATGGCCGTGCCTCAAGGCATGTCAAGCCGTGCTCTTTGCTCCTGAGATGCAGCAACAAAGGCATTGTCCCAAGAGGGCTGCTCGGCGTTATGGAGAAAGACTGCTGAGTGTTATAATGAGGAGGAAGCAGGCTGTCAATGCCAGCACAACCTTGGCTGTTATGGAGAGAGCACAGCATTGTAGAGGGGAGAAAGCTGGCTGTTTCAGAGTGGAGAATATTGGGTCTTATGGAGAGGAGAACCCTGAGCATTATGGAGAGGGGAATGTTGGGCGTTACGGAGAGGAGAAAAATGAGGGTTGTGCAAAAGAGAAGCGGGGTGCCGTAGAGAAGAGAGCCCTTAGAGTTATGTTGACGGGAAGTTTGGTGCTGTGGAGAAAAGAGCTCTTAACTCCATGAAGAGGTCAACACTAGGCATTATGGAGAGGAAAATGCTGACTGTTATCAAGATGAGAGGAGAATGCTGAGTCATTATGATCAGAGCTGTAAACATTATTGAGAGAACACTGAGCGATGGTGCCGCACCACAGACGCTGTCTACATAATCCAGTTTTAAGTGAACTACAGAGACAGAAGCACAATGGTGGAGAGGGCTCTTCCAGTTTTACATTACAACAACTCCCCAGCTACTTGAAGCAAGAAATAGTTATTTCCACCTTAACCTTCTGCAACAGGCCATCCCCTTC